GCTTCTAGAGTCTGAGGAGGACGTTGCAAATTGAGCAATCTCCTACCCATCATATCCCACACGTGCTCAATTGGGGATAAGTCGGGAGATCTTGCTGGCCATGGTAACAATGTGACATCATTATGTTGAAAGAAGTCTATTGTGACTCTTGCAACATGTGGTCGGGTATTATCTTCTTGGAAAGTTGGATCTGCCAGGGTGTCAAGATAGGGTAAAAGATGGGGTTCTAGAACTTCGTGGATATAACGCTGCGCGTTCATGTTACCTCTGATGAAGATTAAAGGTGACCTGGAACCATAAGCTATAGCACCCCAAACCATAACTCCAACAGTGTGATGAACATGTCTTTCAACAAAAAACTGAGGATTCCTCCTTTCACCACGTCGCCTTCTAACCCTGGCACGACCATCGTGCATGCCTAAACAAAATCGAGACTCGTCACTAAAGACAATACTGTTCCATTCCTGATCCCAGAGTGACCGTTGTCTGCACCACTCAAGGCGATTACGTCGGTGTTCTCGAGTTAAAGGGAGGACCCAGTGTGGCCGGTATGAAAACAATCCAAAACTTCTCATTCGTCGGTAAACACTTCGCATGCCAATAGGTCTTCCGTGTTCTGCAAACCATTCATTTGCAATGGACCTGGTAGTGGAGAAACGGTCCCTTAAGGCCAATAATCTTAGGCGGCGATCTTCACGGTCTGTTGTTCTACGGCGGCGTTCAGTGCCCCTTGCTCTTTGCGTACGGCCTTCTCGAAGCCATGCCTGACAACACCTAACCACAGTGTCTACACTTCTTTGCACTCTAACTGCAATTGCCCGAAAAGAAAGTCCAGCTTCCCGAAGTCCCACTATACGGCCCCTATCAAACTCACTAAGTTGACGAAATCGTACAGGTCTCCGTACTCTAGGCATCGTCACCGATCGTAAAGGATGTCAAGGACCAAAATCCGCCAACGTTGATTCTTTACTGCGGCTGAAATATTCATTTTTAGAGCGTTAGTGAATTAAAAAAAAAGCAGTATAAAAACCGGAATGTCCAACTGATAAGGCTGAAAATTTTTTCACTTGTTATTTACAGTAAGATAAATACATTCACCAACTTTTATTAAAATAAAACCATTTAAACTGGGTGTTCGGATTTATATGTCACTTAGTATATAATGATTCTCACGCTTTTGATTGCTTTGCACTTATTGATAGTTTTGTTGGGAATGCAAGAAACATATTACACTGAATTTTTAGACGAATCGACTGGGACCCATTTTACATTTAGTAATAATAATATTATACAGGGTGTTTCACAATTGCGTGACCGAATCACAGTGGCTGCCGATAATTTGAGCCTTCAGGCACAGCACGAAGGAGGTGTATTTGAATTAGTGCGCCGAAATTGGATTAGACGCGCCCAAGCTTCCATTGCTGTCAATGGAAACAATTTTTATCTCGATTTCTGTAGGACTTTTATCACATTTTTTTTTGAGAAATCAACTTCTTTCGTAACAGTGCATATATGGTTAAGATTTGTCGGATAAGTTGTGAAAGACCCTGTATTTTCCTTGGACCAGCAAAAGTTGTATTTTAATATCTTCTCTCTGATATTGTCGCTCGCTAAAGCACTCCTGATTTCCCTAGGAAAGATATTTTATAATCTTCAACTGTATCAGGTCGGTTAAATTAAGAATGTGGATTTCAAAGCTTAACCATACCTCGTCTTAAAATTAAACAAATTTAAAGATGTTCCAGAATTATCCGGAAAAATGAATGCCTTATTCGTGTTTGTAAATGTATTTATGCATACATCCCCTTCCCTGCCTAGGTCCAGTTCGCTCTACGTCACGCTTGTGTGCGCGTACCTTTTCATGGATGTCTTTCACCAATTGTACTCTTTACTTCCGCTTCATTGCACAATGCATCTCAGATCATAGTCGTTCGTTTCCTATACAGGACAAATAGTGAATTCGTATCCATAATATTGGGTTTCCTTCGTTGAGCCCAGAAAAGCGTCAACGAGGAACGACTGTCATTTGCAGTCGATAAATATTTATTTTGTAGAGATTTACGAAGAGCACCATATTTCAAAAGTGAGGCATCATAGAAAGACATTTTACGTGGCATTTTTTTTAAATTTGACAGATTATATCTTTTTTACTTTGATCATCTGATTCACTGGTGAACAAAATAAAAAAAAAATGTGACATGGACAAACATTTTTTCTATCACCCACGGTTTTCTTGCAATAAGGCATTTTATTTGCTGCTTATACTCGTAAAATAGTAATAGTACTAATAAACACTCGAAGAAACATTAATCTCAGAATATTGTTGTCGATGTTTTACGGCGGTATGTTGCTCTTGAATTGACAGTCCATTTACCTTGATACCGTTTTTCCATAGCTGAAATGTCTTGGTGGAACCGTTCACCATGTTCATCACTTACCGCACCTAAATTTTCCGGAAAAAATCGAGATGAAAATCCAAAAAGTGAATTTTTAGAGACATGTTACATCCCATTCCTTTATAAGCATTAATTAGTTTACTCACAATATATTTATAATTGTCCGTCTTCACATTGCCTAAAAAAATTTGCAGTAACTGATTTAAAAGCATCCCAAGCTCGTGATTTAGTTTCATTTAGAGCACTGTCAAAGACATCATCCTTCATGATTTTCCTTATTTTTGGACCCACAACTATGCCCTCTTTAATTTTTGCCTCACTAAGTCTCGGAAATATTTTTTCAAATGAAGAAACACTCTTCCATTTCGATCCATAGCTTTTACAAAAATTTTCATCAGTCCCAATTTAATATGCAAAGGTGGAAGCAACACGTTTTTGGGATCAACTAGTGGTTCATGAGCAATGTTTTTGAGGCCCGGAGTTAATACCGGACATAGTGACGATCTCCCGCACGACTGTCCCATTCACAAAGAAAACAACAATATTTGGTATATCCCAGTTCCAGTTGCATTCCAATAAGAAGGGCTATTACCTTTAAATCTGCACATATGGCCCATCCATATTCATTATCACGGATATGCTCTAACAGAACTCCCATATTTTCATATGACTTCTTCATATGAACTGCGTGCGCTACAGGAACAGATGGATATTTATTACCGTTGTGCACCAATACCGCTTTTAAACTAAGCTTAGAGGAATCAGTGAACAGGCGCCACTAATTTGGAACATGTTTCTGTCTTAACGCGTCAAACAAATTGTTGACACCGGAGCAATATATCAGCTCCCTTTCTTGACCGAAACAGTGTGTGAGGCTTTGTTGCCGTTTTCGGTAAAAAGTAATGTTAACATCACTGTGGAGAAGATTATATCCTTTTAATCTTGACGCTAAAAGTCCCGACTGGGATTTTGACAGATTTAATTTTCGAACTAAGTTCGCCCTGTGTGATCAAATGTGGCGCTGTTGAACACCCTGGCAGGTCAAATGAAGGATCGTCAATTTTTACGCTTTCTGTACCATCTCTTTCAGAATAGGTGGATTCGACTTTTTCATCTAAAGACCAAGATTCTGGTGGAACTGGGACAGAAAGTTCATCACTATGCTTAACGGGCCGCAAAGCTGATAGTGAATTAAAATACTTAACAGTATGTTTCGATTTTGGTCCAATACCTTTAATATTAGTGAGGCAAAAATAGCAATCAGTAGTATGGTCTCTGGGTTCTCTCCAAATTGTCGCCTTAACCAACCTGTTAACAACGTTGCAAAAGTCTTACAACATATATGAGGGGCCCATAATTTATCTTGGTCGCCAACTTTAATTCCAAGAGTCCAGAGTTCGTATGATTTCAACACAAGGGGAGTAAAATTATATTTTTGGGATTTAAAAGTTAACTCTCCGCACACAAAACAAAAACTTTTCGCACTATTTACACAATTCCTAGGCATTGTACATAAAGCTAGTCTCGATCACAATAAACTAAAAACAACACACCGTTTTAACAAAAATTAACAGTACTCAGCACATATTAGTACTCTTCAACACAGAAAACGTAACTGACTCAGCTGTAATTAGTCTACTAATAAACGCAATATGCTCTCTAAACATAGAGCTAGCTTATAATAAACAGGAATAGACAGGTCTTAACATTATATATGTGCGTCATCGCATAAACGCCGAGGAATGCAGCAATATGAGATGTTACGTATTGTAATTCATAAAAGTAGATGTTACCGAATATCTGTGGGTGATAGGAAAATTATGTTTTCAGATTTGATTTAAGGGTCTCAAAATACATAAGATAAACCCAAAAATTGTCATGTCACAAATCCTGTATTTGTCAGTGTTATTGGGAGGAAAACCCCATCAAAATCGGTCAACAATGGAGCGAGATATCCTGGAACTAGGTTTGCGCTAAGGTTGGAAGTGCTCTTAGGCCCATATCGTCAGGCGACCCTACAATTGTAGGGCGCGTTTATGGTCTCCTTGATTGTCATACTCCTTTCTCTCCTTCAAAAATTTCTAGATTACACTTGTCATGTGTCAGCGTCAGCGCTCTCCTATTGTGAAGATTTGTTTTCTTTTTAAATTGTAGGAAATTTCATTCTGATAAAACATGATATAACTCAAAACCAAGCACAACTTGATGCAAATTGATGTTTGTGACATAACTTCAAAATAGAGCGCTGACACGGAGAAGTAGAAAACTATGACAGTCAAGGAGACCATAAAGGCGCCCTACAATTGTAGGGTCGACTGACGATACGGGCCTGAAATAACAAATATGCTGCACCAGAGTGCGCCCTTTTTGAGTTTATAAGTTTGTATAAATGTTGTTAGAATGTTTATAGCGGCATTGTTGCTTTATAAAAATACTTCTGTAAACCTTATAAATATATAAATTGTTAGTTGGCCTGTAACCAGAACACTCTGTACATCCATCAAGACTTCAGCGTTCGCGCGACTCTGCGTCGGCGTCCCGACGAGTGACGTCGCAGCGCCTTCCCGATCCCGATCAATCCCGCCGGCTTGGTGCCAGTCGGTGATGGTCATCAGCGACGCCGGGGTCATAGCCGGCGTGTGCCTACTGGTGGCTGCGGCCGGCTGGGGTCCGCCCGTTACCGAAGGGGCCCCCCAGGAAGCCTTCTTCGCGGATCTATTCCAGGGCAGGCAGTATGGTGACTACCAGGTGAGTTCAGGACGCAGAAAGCAATGTCATTCGTGTAAAAGTTTTTCTTCGTTCTACGCATTTTTTAATTGTGAGATGATTGAGTTGTGAACATAAGTACACTTTACAAAAAACCTGCCCTTAGGAGAATTCATGTCTTGATAAACATTCCTATCTGTAAATTTGTTTTATAGACGATTGTTTTATCTTTAAATTATTTTAACATTCCGTATATCGTAATAATTGTTATTGCATTCTTGAATCATTACCTTATCAGCGGTATAGTATTTTAAGAAATTCGTATCTCGGTATCATAAAATTAGCAGTAGCTTAAGATTTGCACATATCTACATTTGGATAAATGTCATGAAACATATGTTCAGCCAAATGGAGTGTCGCAAACACCCAATATAGGTTTTTCATAAATTATTACGAATTGGTAAGAGTTTCCTACAAAACTACTAAATATGTCTCGTTGTACCGTCTTTTTAGCACTAACTAGAAGATAATTATTAATTCCAGTGGCGTCTCTCACCAATAATATTGACACAAAATGTACGCCACTGACTTTTGAAAAAATATACAGGGTATTTCAAATTCGACCCTAACCATTAGTAAGTAAGAGATACAAAGTTGCTTAAATTGGGGAAAGTTGCGTAACAACATGCTGCTTGGAAAGAGTCGAAAGTCAAAGTACTCCCGGAGAGACACAGAAAAAAAGTGTTCCCCAAATAACTTTAATTTCTTCCTAACTTTATTTTGTAATGGAATTTTGAAACAAATTGCACATTAACTTTGCCACTTTATCTCCTCTACTAGATGGCATAATTAGAATTTATATATCATGTTTCGTCTCTTGTCCATGTCCAGCAGCAACTTTATTTTTTCTTACAGATGCTATTTTGGATTTTTACGCAGATGAATAGACTTTTTAATTCTAATTAAAAAAAAATGTATAATATATCATACACAGAGATTGTCAAACCTTAGTTATACCAGAAAAACGCAAGTTCCTAAGTTGGCCATAAAATTATTAGATAGTCATTTGTTTCGTATATCAGACGCCAAATTTAATATAGTAACAGAGTGTGGGAGACTGAGAAGAAGAGAAATAAATCGGGCAATGAACAATGTACAGAGAAGAGTCAGACTTTGCCTACAAAATAACGGAAATTTACTTCATCTGCTATGATTTACTTCTGCTTATTTATGATTATTATTATTATGATTGTTACCATCAATTAAATTTTTATTTAGGTTCAGGTTTCAGCATACCTTTTTATTTCCTTAAAATTTTCATCCAACAATAAATTCATGGCCAACTAATTATTACATTACTGAATTTAGGACTGACAAGTCCATTGAAATTGTACAAAATTCCAATATAGCATCCATATGAAAAACAAAATGGGTGACGGAAGTCGAAAGAAGAAGAAACCTCGAATTTAAAATTTGACTACCATATTTTAGAGGACAGTATCATCTCAAGTAAAGTTATGAAAAAATAAAAATGATTTTGCCATAAATCTGATATACGAAACAAATTAATGGAAATTCTGCTTTTTTGAAATAACTAAGGTTTGGCAATGTTAGTGTACGACGTGCTACATATTTTTGGAATCAGAATTAAAAACTCTATTCATCTTTGTGCAAAAAATCAATATGGCGATCGTAAGAAAAAATAAAGCCGATTCTGGAGGACAAGGGACGAAACATCATATTGAAAATCTAATTATGCCATCTTGAAGATGACAAAAATTGGCAATGTTGATGCGCAACTTATTTTGAAATCGCACTAAAAATAAAGCCAGGGAAAATTGAAACGTATTTGGGAAAATTCGTTTTTTCTCTGTCTCTCCGAAAGTACTTTGCGTACTTGGTTACTATAAATGTTTATGTAAGTCTTAAGGGCAAATGTTCGGAGAAATCTATGATGTGAAAAATATGTACTGATAGGCGCATAAAATTACTGGGGTTGGAAGTGTATAAATATTCTGCCGCCAATCCCAACCCCCGAACTTCAACACCCCTACAACAGTTTTTCTGGAACTGATCTTGTGTAAAAATTTTATACCGAGTGGTACTTTCCATGTCCAAAGATTAGCGGACGTACCGACGGACATAGTACATGTCATATAACTTACAAGAAACATAATATTTCATTTTCCGAATTATTCGCGGATTACAATACTTCCTCGCCAGTAGGCGTGGGAAATAAAAAACTCCATTACACGTCGAAAAATTGTTAAACTAAAATCAAATCAACTTTGGCCGGTGCAAGGGAATGCCGTTCTGTTATTACGAACATATTTTGGACTTTCCACGACAGTTCTTTTTCAACACAAGGATCATCGAGATATTAACGAAAAAACATTTTCTTAAACTTCAACATACCCTGTATCTTGGAAATCAGAATTTTCAGGGCACAATTACGACCTATCACTAAAAGCATAAGCTTGAGAGCGCTTTAGACAATTAATAGGTTTTTTGAATATAACCTTATCTTCCAGATAAATTGACGTCATATGAAGCAACGCACCGTGAAGATTTTTTATGAGGGTAGATTTTACTATCGTCATATTATCAATTTTATCATTATTGGCGATTTTACTAATGGTCTAGTAAATCAGTATATTTATGCAAATTTCATTGGAGACAGAAACCATGCATTCTTTTTTCAATTATTTAGTTTTTCAATGTTTTAGCAAATATTATAAAACGTATGTCCGCTTTCTACTTTCGACTTGCTACCATATGTTATAATGCTTGAATACCTTGAATACGAGAAGGCCACTTGCATACTGTATCTGGGAGCTCTAATTTGTTTTAAATGTTCTCTACCTCCTTTGTTAGGGAGGTCAAATATTACGAGATAGGATCGCTGACGATCACTAATTTTTCCAGAAGATAATATCGTTCCATTTACAAAATAGAAGTAGTAGGTGTTCAGGAAAAAAAGAGAAACCTGAATGAAGTAGGCATATCTCAGGTTTTAGTATAAATGAATCCATTTTGAAACCACTGTGCAAATCCATACAAATGGTGCTAAACATTTTAGAAAAACTTTGTAACTTTAAAAATACTCTTTTGTGCTCTTAACTGATTATCAACTCATCTTTACTGTCAGCTCGTCACTAGGTTTTCATCAAGGCGCAACTCCAATGAAAAACTTCGCTTTCTTTCCCTAGTTTTTTTCTAGGAACGGAGTTTTTCAAGAACCATGGAACAAACAATATAGAAAGTAACCCTTTGAAACAAAGTGGCATTGATACTGATCAAAGATCCGCAAGTGAGAACCACTTTCATAATGTTGAATGAAGGGTAACTTAATTATCATGGAGTGTGGAGTTCTCTTTCAGATTCATTAATAAATTACAGTTTTGTGTCTTGTGAAAAATAAATAAAGAAATATATTTTCGAGGTTGGTGATGTAATACCCCTATGGATAAACCATAACGAAACCGTAATAAAAAAGTTATATTTGTATGTTTGGAAAGTTGTTGAATTATTCCGTGGAGCTTCCAGAAAATGAAAAACGATAATGGGGCACTTCATAATAATTACAAATACCGCCGTTTTGTGTTTGGTTATTCTCTGGCTATAGCGACCTTTCCACATTTTAGATTTTTGCCATTGTTATTAATATTTTTTCTGAACCGACTATGTGCACATGGAGTGATCGGATTTAAAGTTTTCTCTCTATTTAAGGAAACATACGTTTCACAAATCTGACAAACATAAAATTATACAAAATAGAACTTGGATTTGTAGCCTGAAAAAGTAAAATCAAACGATGTATAAAAAACTTAGATGACTTTGTAGCTATTTTTTCACTCCTTTCCTGTAAAGTATAAAAAATTGAGTAGATTTTCGCGGATGTCAAGTTTTTGAGGAATTTTTCCACCAAGAACAACGTACCTATATCCTAATGACATTTGAGGTTCTTTGCAATAACCTTTTCTATTTTCTTTCTTCTATTTTTGTGTTGTTACATGGCATTTGCATCACAAAATACGATGTCACTCATTTCCATCAGAAGTACCAATCGATTTCGATAAAATTTTGAAACAGCTTACTACTATGCCCAAAACGAAAAAAATAAGCATCGCTCTAGCTTCGCTTTTTTGGCGTTTCAGATACTTATACTCATTTTTAGAAATCGTTTGAGGAGTAAAAAACTGGGGATAGGAGGGTGTGGAGGAGAGAGGGTATTTTTCATTATTTTTGGCGTTAGCATACTTACCTACAAGTGATTATACGCACTTATTTGGTATATTTCATACATATTTCCCCGTTCACACGCCCTTAAATGATTCAGACGAATATTTTCACCATAAGCGTCGAATGCAACGGTACAAGCAAATAAAAACAAAACAACTAAGTCAGCAGTCAGTACAACTTTGTCAGATGGTCGGGCAAGGAAGAATTTTCTATATCGCAACATTGTCAAATGAATGGGTCTAGGGACAAATTGTATGGATCTCTTCATTCTAGATGCTTTTATTTTTCGTGTTATGTATGTATGAATTTTAAGCACTGATGAGAGCGTCGCGTGAGATGTGTAGAGTCAACTTACTTGACGCCATTTTTTATTCTGGTTGTGTGTTCTGAGCTGCTGTCTGCTCACGTATTCTGATTAAGAGTAGAAGTATACATTCATCCCCAAGTAAAAATCCCGTAGTTATTTTTTCTTCAGTCTAAATACGCTACCATGGTTGATGTCTGCACAAATCTGTATAAGAAGTTATATACTCATACTATCCTTATTAAAGTTCGTCAATCAGCTCTTTTTTGGCATCAGCGTTTAGCATTAGGTATTTAGGCATTCAAAGGCGGTAGAGGATATGTGATCATATTAAAAATATTCAATGGTTTGCTATGCGACAAAGATGGATACCGCATTTATCATGATTGATCCACAGTATTTAGACAAATAAATTTATTTAAAAAACAAGCATGAGATGTGATTATCATTAAGCAAATCTGGGTTCTGTAGGATATATCGCTTTTTATGTTTGGCA